GCTGTTGATGCTGATAGTGATAATGCTGAGGACGTGGAGGGGGAGGCGGAGGATGAGGAGTTCGAGGACGTGGAGTGAGTGAGTGAGTGAGTGAGTGAGAACAGTCGCGATGCGAGTCGAAACGAACTACGAGCGCTTACAAGCGGTCTTCTTGCCTTGCTTAACGCCGTCGGGAATCGTTCGGTTTTGATCCGATTTGAATTTTCAGCTCGATTCGCATGTGTTCGCCTGAGGCATGCCTGACCCAGGCACCTGATGGCACTACTGGCACAATGTCCGCACTGTGAACAAAACCAACGGCCCAGGGTTTTGATGCAGACGTATTCTGTGGCTACTGTGTACCCAGCCCCCCACCCTACACGTAGTTTAATCCCCGACGGCAACGCATAGTGTCTGTCTGTCATCGACTGGAGTGGGTCTGAAACACTGGGTGAAAATCCATTGGGCGTTGGAGGCCTGCGAGGAGGAACTACAGCAAACCCTATAGCGCTTGCCAGAATCGTCGAGCGAGTGACTGGTCGCACATTGCCTGCACACAGGGGGGGCAGGAGGTGGCGGTGGCTCACACACCACCTCTATTTTTCTCAGTGGCCCAGTCTCTTTTGCACCTGCTCGCTCTCCGCATCCAGAGCATCAAGTGTAGCTCCGAACAAACACTTCTTTTTTCCCCTCTGTGAATACGATACGTCTCGGACCCAGCATGCCTGACACGGCGTGCTGCACCTGCTGCCAGCTCGTCGGCTGCCGTGTTGCCGACCGCAAGTTGCCATGGCGCAGCTCCTTGAACCATCTGCTGCGGGGAAGGTGCGAGTTCACAAACAAACTGAGAAAGTCAATCTGACCGCGCCCTGCCATAGCAACTCCGATCGTATGCCACAAGTCGACATCTTCTCCACTGGGCGAGGTAGATCTCCGTGCATACCAACCGTCGGCAACGCGCCTGAAACGGTTGTCGGACGAGTCGGTGCCGCTTTTGGCATCGGTGGCCTCTGCTCGCTGCCGGTCCCGAACGTGGGGCCCACGAGACTGCTCGCCGGACGCTTGACACATACCATTCCTCGTGCTCCTGCAGCGGACTCACCTCAGTCCACCTGGCTGGCAGCAAAGCACGCAGCCAATAGCACTCCTCGCTGTGAGGTGACCAGCCGCAGGTGAGCGACCACCGTGTCCCAGGCCGCATGCACGCCCGCCCTCAGCGACTGCTGCTGCTGCTGCCACATGCGGAACCATAGCTGCGCGCACTCTTCAGGCATGCGCAGCGCAGTGTCTGCAGGTGTCTCCAAGCCGATGAGCGTTGTGAGGCACCTGCCCCTGGTCGTCGACCCAACTGCTGCCCCCAACCTGCGACGATGAGCAGTGAGATACGTGCCGAAAACCCCCGTGGATCTGATAAGCGTAGGATCCAGCTGCCTGCGCCCCAAGCCTCTCCAGGTTGGAAGTGACGTGGTACCGCCGCCCTGTCGCCTTGTGCCTCCAAATATCGTCGCGCATCTTGCTGTACTTCTGGAAGCGCGCCCTCCGAGTAGACCTTGTGTGTGCACTCCCGTGACCCAGGTCAGTGCCCAGGTATGCCGTTGTCCTTTGTGCCTTGGCCGTGCAACCTGCTCGTCTCAATACCCTCGGCACCCTAACTGCGTCCCTGAACGCCGGGCACGTCGCACCACCCTTCTGGGCAATTCGAAAATGCAACCGAGCCAGACCCCGACACGTGTTCCGCACACAATGAATAAGGTCACTCACCACTGACACTTGGATCCTACAAGGCGCTGTGAAAGATCATCCACCCATATGCTGTGGCCCGCCTTCGGGTGGGCCGTGCATATGCGCTGCAGCGGGAAGTGCACAGAAATGCTTGCGAAACGTGTGCCAGAACGAAGGCCCTGCACAATAGACTGAGTTGGAATGAGAGGCATCGTCCACGCGCCTCGCTGGCCCAACGTGTGCTATGGCATGCACTGCAGCGTCTCCAAGCACAATGCTGCAGC